CGTTGACCGCCGTGAATAGTCGCGCTTGTTGCATCTCCTCCTTTTGTTCCGTTCGCCGTTTTGTGAATGAGTCACGGTGATTCGCACGCGTCGATGCATGATTTTCCGAAAAACAATACGTGATCGTTGCGGCAATAGTATCCTTGGATGTGTCGCATCAAGGATTTATGAGGATTTAATTACGGTGAGAGATTTTCTTTTCTTTTTCTTCGAACTTTCATACATATTTCAGGAGCGCAAAGCATTTCCGGCTGCCAGTTGCAATTGCGATTGCACTTGATTGTTCGGTATTGAACTCCTGCAATGTCCGAATATCGAGTCGCGCTTTCGCCGCCAACGAAATTCACGAATCTTTCGAGCTGCGCGAAAGACGCAGCTTTAGGAAATCGAAAATTGCAAGCTGTACGCGGACCGTCCCCAAGAGCCGTCAACATCCGACGATTATTCATCGCCGGCAAAAATGCGCTTACATCATCGCGTCTGATTGAAATGGATCTCCGTCCGCGCGAAAAAAAAAAAGAGCTTTGCGTCGCCCGCTTCACTGCCAGCGGCGAAAGCGCCGATTAGCTTTTTCATTCGTGGCGAATCTCGTTTTCGAGAACATTCATTACGCGCCGCCAACCTGTTATCTGAAACTAGTTCCCAAGACATTGACCTCCAAATTAGTTTCCGCCGCACATCAGCTCAGATTAGCCTGTCACGATATTATTATGCTATCTATCTATATCTATCTACCTGACACATCTCGAATTCGCGATCCTGCGGACGAGCGCGGTCTCAGCTTTCTCGGCAACGTGACCATTTTAATAATCCGCAGAGCAGTAACAACGCGAAAAGCATGTAGCTTATTGTTTTCCCTAAAATGACGGTCGTGTTGATTCAATTTCTACAATCCTTTCAACGTCCTCGTCCGGAGTGAGATACGTCGCGAAATGAAATCAGAGCGAAATTATGTATTGTCCTGATAATCCACGCGAGCTATCTTTTGCTGTCGTAACAGAGACCTATCTCCCTCGATTTCTTCTCCTCTTTCCCGGCTTTCCCCGAACCGTGAACCTTCCGTTATCATTGTCAAACGTATTCGCGTCTCTCGCTCCGGTATTTTCATCAGGCTAACCAACCCTCTGGGTGTGCTTTCTCCACCCCTGAACGGTTCTTGCTGGGATTCATGCAGATATCTCTCCCTTCTCTCTCGTATCCTTGCTCGAAGGCAGGATGCTGTGAAACTTGGTCAGAGACGAATGGTTGCAATATTGATTGCTTTTTCGTGAAGCGATCCCTTTCGCAAATGTATTTTCCATCGCTTTCACACCAATTTTAGACCGCGCCCATTAATGTCTTTCTTCTATTCAGATTTTCCAATAGCAATTATTGTCGTTAATTTCTATTAATTAACGAGCTTGATAAAAAAACCGTTTTTCAAACCGCGAAACATCGCTGAATTTTAACGTTTTTAAGCGCAGTTACGCTGCAAGAACTGAAACTACAAACCGTCGGCTATCTTTTGAGCGAATCGTCGCCGGTACCCCTTGCACTTCGACGAGATTTCAATTTGTCCACAGTAACGAGCGGCGGCACATCCTACGAAAGCACTAGCGCGTTCTTAAAGCCATTGAGCGAATCAAGCGCGACGCTGCTCGGTGGAATCGAATCGTGGCAAGCTCGTTGCTCGCCGTAACGCATTAACACGGCTTCCTTCCTGGAAGAAAAAAAAAAAAACAACGGCCAATAGCGATGTGACGACTTTCTGCTAACATCGTGCACAAAGGCGATCGTGCTTATTGCTGAAAGAGGAAAAATAAGCCACCGCCGAGGCAGGCGCCGCTCCTGTTTTTTCCGTCGTGCCACGATACGCACTTTTCATATAGAAAGCCTCGCCCTCCCTTTCGTTTACGTTAACGCGACATCTCGGCCATCCTTTTCCATATACTCGACGTCGCTCGTCCTGACCGTCCTGGTAATACCCGTTGCCGTACTCAGCCCACCCCGTGACGGTATCATCCCTGTGACGAAGGCAAACGACTATCCCTTTCCTCTCCTTTTCATTTCCTTTTTCATTTCGCTGAGTCGCCCAATTTCTCCTTCCGCGGAGTCCGACGGCTGACTCCGACCATTCATTGTTCGGCGTCGACATAAGCCGCTTGCTATCGGAATATCGGAGCTCGCGCGATCACGGAAGCTTACGCGTATTACGAGTGCAGGGGATCTATTTTCGTCTGTTTTTTTCGTTGGCCACATATTTTCGCTATCCACGCAAATACAGATACCGCGCCGGAGCGAGTGAAAGAGAAAAAAAAAAAAAACGCGAGATATTTGCATGCTGTTCATAATTGAATTTTCTCTCTCTCTCTTTTTCTCGGAATAGAGTCGAAAAAGTCGTCGGTGTGCCACCCCCTTTCGTGTATTTTCGGGAACTCGAATTGAGGAGGCTCTGTTTTTCCGAACCACGGACGCGATGACATAATACCGCCGCCATAAGAGCGCCGAATTACGACGCTGCCGGGCGCGCGCAACATTGCCCACACACGCACACACGCCCGCGACCTACGCTGCAGCGCGCGCGTGTGCGCGCGCTGCCAAGGCGTTCGCCGGTCGCGCCGTGTTGCAGCAGTATTGTGTACATACACACCGTGTTTGCGCGCAACGCAAGCGCCGATGCGTGGTGTGCGTGGCCGGAGGCGCGCGTGCGGCCCGCGGCGACCTTGAGCCTCCCTCTCGGACCCTCCGTCCTCTCCAGCGGCCTGCGTGCGTTTTGCCACCACACGATGCCGCGGTCCCTACCTCCTCGCCACGATGCGTATATCTCTCTTCTCCTCCTCCTCCTCCTCCTTCGACGCCGCTCCTCCCGCGCCTCTCCTTTTGCGCGTTCCGGAGCCACGCAACTCGGAGGCGCCTCCAACGCCTAAAATCTCCCTCTCCCTCTCACCCTCGTTTTTCGTGCCACGGAGGTTCCTAGCGATACGCATCGATCGCGCCGCCGCTGCCGCTGATTTTTGATCCGAGAGTGTTACGCGAAAGTGTGCCGGTAATAATTACCACGTTGAGCCCCTAACGTTCTCGCCTGCCGGAGCGACCGCGATTGATTTCGCGGCAAAAACATACGCAATTTTGCACAGGCAGAAGTGTGCAAAACATTTTTTCAAGGTTGCGCACGCACAAGGCTTTTCTTCTCTCCACTGCAACGAGCTTCGGCCGCTTCGCAAGTGCTGCGGGTACATGTTAGATGAGAAGCGACATCGGTGGGGACGCGATACCTTAGAAATGTCAGGGAGGAAGGGAGGGAATGATGTACGAAAATGAGACGGGACGAGAGAAAGAGAGTCGCAGCGCGCGCGCGAGAGAGAGCGACAGAACAAGACAGTTCTCCGGAGAAGGAGAGACAGAAAAAAAAAGTGGAGGAGGGGAGCACTAGGCTACAGAGGACCGCGAGAGCCGAAACTTCTAACCTTAAGCAATCGCCGGTGATCCCTACCCCTCCGAGGAAGCCGCCGAATCACCGATCCCCGCCCCCGGCCACCCACCCCGACAACCGGCTCCCTTCCTCCGGCTTTCGGTTCCGAGTTACCGCCACCGGGTGTCGAGAACGCCGAAAACTCTCCTCCCCCCCCCGTTCCCCCACCACCACCACCGCCGGTTCCTATGTAACCGCATTTGCATCCACACCGATGACCCATATTCACGCTCTTCTCCACGGTGATACACTAGCAGCGGTTACGGCGGTTCCCTCAGCGTGCTGCTCTCTCTCTCTCTCTCTTTCTCCCTCCCTCTCTCTCTCTCTCTCTCCCCCTCTCATCCGGGGTCCCCCCTGCCACACTCTTTCG